ATACCGTCACACTGGGGATTCAGGGCTTCAGCGCATCAATTTTAGGGCATGCAGCTTGGTCCGTAACAGGTCACCAAGGCAGAATTCAGTGCAAGGGACAGATTTATCTTGGTACCCTACATCCCCCCTTTCTCTCCCTGCACATGGGGAGTTCGCACAGCCGTGTGGTTTCCTGTCCCCCACCTCACCCCCTAATGCTTGTGCATCACCCCATAATACAGATCTAACGTCTTTTACAAAGTGCACTGTTTTTAACCAACTCAACTGTAGGCATGTTTATTATGGAAGGGAGTGCACAATACGTGTTTTCACCTGAATTAACAGCCAGTATTTTAAAACAGGGACCTTGCAGGTAGAAGCCCAGAGTGCTAGCTCCTGAAAACCTGGGGGAGCCGGCAGTGCTGGGCTCTCGCTCCCACGAGGCACCAGTGGGCTGGAGCGAGTTTGCAGCCGCCCTCTCTGGTGGGGCATGAGCTGCCCGTTTGCTGCCTTCCCTGCCCCTCTAGAGTCTTCTTACAGCTGGCCCGTTCTGCCTCTTTATGTTGCCTGCTGCTCTCTGAGTCTGTGTCAGTTTGCCACTTCTGCCTCAGCCCTTTTCTCCCTCCCTTCCTCATTGGAATTTACCTATTGCCCATAATTTTGCTAAACAGGAAGTAGGAAATCCGACCAGGCTCTTCTGATTTAATACATTAGTGGATATTAATGGATTAAAAAATCTTCCTGACTGGCACTTCCTGTAGCTGCTCTTTGAGGAGAATTTCAGGGGTGCCTGGTCCCAGAAGTTCTCAATTCAGATGCCAGAACTCTCTGATCCGTTGACCGGGAGCTGGTCCTTACCTCTAGATGTTCATCTGCAAAGTGGAGAACAGGACCGTGCCCTTTTCTATCTGAGGATGCAGACAGCTAGAGTCAACAAACTGTGCATTTTGATTTTTGCGGAGTAGGCTCAGTCTCGTTGTGCGCACAGTGTTTGGTGAATCCTAAATCCTCTTACTCGGATGGCTTTAAGCATAAAGGATCCAGGACTCAAGCTGTACCGTTTCCGAAGAAGCAAACGGATACACAGAGGCTGGTTTTTCTCTCTTTACCATTGTTATTTTGGGTCAAGAAGATGAAGCTTGGAGGGTGATTTCATGCAGCTGGTGTTGAGAAATTTCTTCGTTATCACAGTCCTGGTGACGCATGAGTCACCAGCCCTGCCTCTCCAGGCAGTGGGCGTGTGCTGTCAGAGTCCGTTCCTGGGTGCTCAGATGTGGTCACTAGTCGACGGGGTCACACCCCTGCGCAGGGGGAGCCGACGGGGCTCAGACCACCCTGTGGCCGGGAGGGACGTGTGCACACCTGTGACCCGGGCGCCGGTGTGGCCGGCCGCCTGCCCCAGGGCTGTGTGGAGAACCTCACTGTTCAGCAAGAGCGTCAGAGTATATTAAGTCCACCCAGTCCTCCTCCTCCTCTCCTCCTGTGAATTGTCAGAGCTGGTGCACCCGCTCCCGTTGGCGAGTCCCATTTTGTCGTGTTGCAGCTAAAAGCCCACATCTCTGGGCGGCCTTCTGGTCTCAAGCATGTGGCCAGTACGCAGTGTGATCCGTATCCTGCTTGGCAGCCCTTCCTTCGTGGTGCTGATTAATCCAGAAGGGCTCGATTTAACTGGAGCAGGGACAGCTTCCCCGGGGGGGCGGCTCTGGTCCTGCACAGGGTCAGTGATGAGAACTTCCAGGGTAAGTTGCCTTGCTTCTCCGCATCTTAATAGGATCAGAAGTGTGAGCAATAGGCATTTTCTGAGTTTTCCCTTAAGTAATGCAAGATACATGCATGTCTGAGTAGCATCGGGGGCCTGTTGCTCCGAGGGGCAGGGAAGACCAACGTCTGCTGTCACTGCAGCATGGAGGGCGAGACCACACGTGCCCCCAGCCCCGTGCCCACCTCTGGGCTTTTTCAGGGGTAAACAAGTCTGGATAAGTGAGATGCTATAATTTGGTGAATAAAACACATAGTCCATGTCTATCAAGTGGCGTCTTCACTCTGTGGGCCTTTACCTGGATGTCTCGATCATAGAAGGGGCTCTTTCAGCATCACTGTGTGAAGGGCTTTGCCATCTGCTGAGGAATTTTCTGTGGAGGACTGTTTGGGGGTGAATTTGCTTTTCAGCGGCTCTTTCTGTTCCTGGCTCCCCACGGTGGGGGCCCTGGTATGGTACGGGGTGCCCCAGGTGCAGATTCCTGCTTGGAATGGTTTGGGAAAGAGGCGGCCACGCATCTTCCTTTGCCTGGTGGTGCTGTGGATCTGGTGCTTCCCGGACGGGATTTCGGTCCTGAGCTTTTCTCTGGCAAAGATTGATTTCGTCAGGTTAAGCAACTGACCTCGAATCACTGAGATGGAATATAAATAAAGTCGATGAATGAGTCACTTTTTGTTTTTTTACAACCACCAGAAAACTGGATGAAAGAGCCAGCCAGGCTTCTCTTTCCAACATTCCCTTCTTGCAGTCCACTCTTTCAAGGGAGGTGCAAAGGTAGGTGTTGGCATGAACTGAGTGGTCAGTTGGTGGCAGCAAGTGGAATCTGTAGGCAAGGATAATGGTGCCTTCCATAGGGAAGGAGCCGTGATGGTGTGCAGGGAGGGGCTCGGTCCTCTACCGTCTTATGTAATCCTCCCAGGGGCTACTTGAGTAGGTGCTTTTACATCCTTCCATCTTAAGAGTATAGAGATGCTGGGCAACCTGCTGGGGACCACAACGCTTACACTCGGAAAAGCTAGGTTTTGTGTTAATGAATCCAAGGTCATACTGCTCACTGCGCGACAGGTCAGTAAATCAAGGTATGAGTTATTGGGGCAAGGAATAATGACTTTATTCAGAAAGCCAGTGGATGGAGAAGATAGTGGACTGGTGTCCCAAAGGGCCATCTTGCCTGGGTTAGAATTCAGGCTGCTTCTATACGAAAAGGGAGGGAAGTGAAGTCAAACGCTTCCTGGTTCCAGTCAGCCCCCCGAGGGGTGTGTTAATTTCGTCCTTCCTGCGGTCGTTCCCGGGGGGCCTGGTCAGGTTTCCTTTGAGCTCAATAAAAGTATTTTAGCTTAATGCTCATCACCTGGGAGGCAGGTTCCCACAGATGGGTCATTGTGTATAATTTAAACTTATGGGCAACATCCTTTTAGTGATAAACTTGTAGCAAAAGCGGTAGATAGAAAGGTCAAAGTAAAAGAAACATCCAGTATGGAGTCAGATCGCTTCTTCCCTCTTATGTCTGTGTTTAGCCAGTTCGCCTGGGGCGTCTAAGGCTGCCACGGTCGGGAGTCAGGTGTTTGGGTGAGCGCACTGGTGACTGCCAGTAGCTCTCATGGGTGGGACGCCTCAGGCTGTCTCCATGTCCCTCAGGGGGCCTGCAGGGGACTACGTTGTGACTTTCTTTACTTAAGAAAGACAAGGTGAATTTTTGCTGCTGCGAACATCTCGGAGGAGGGAAGCGTTTGTCACAGGCTGGGGATCACTGCTCCCTGCAACCAAACCCCAGGGGTGAGGTGTGTGCAGATTGCCTCCTTGTGTTTCATCGCGTGGAAACCCGGGAGATGCCACGGAGAGGAGGAGGTCGAAATGACTGCGGCCGGGGGGGTGGGGCTTGACTGAAATAGGGGACCTAAAATCAGCCAGGAGGAGCCCTTCTCCTAGTGGGAGGAGCCTGAAACCGCGTGGTTCCCGCCCCTTTCCCCTCGTGAACGTGAATGAGCCTGAGATGTGGGCTCTCGAAGCGTTCCAGAGGAGATGCAGGTCAGCTCGGACGTGGGTGCTCCCCAGGCAGTGGCTCGCTAGGAAGTGAGCAGAGAACACGCTGGGAGGACCAGGCAAAGAGGACGCCTGCCGGCGGGGCGGTGGGGGTCTTGCCGCCCCCTCCACCGTGGCTGTGAAGCGCCCCTCTTGCTTCTCCCTCGTGCTTTCTGACCAGGTGTCCATCCTTCCTTTATCTTTTCGAGGCTCCTCAGCTTGCTCACTGAAGTCGTTTTCAGGTTGCTTCACTGGAGTCAGTTCACCCTGGCTACGGGTTTTGCTAGACCTCTTTCACGGTGTGAGCTTTCGCTGTGTGTTTTGGAATTTCCGTTTTCAGACTCATCTTTAGCGGGTGATGTTTTACCCTCAGTCTCCCTCTGTGCTCACCACCCCCACCCCATCTTACTTACTTTGTGGTTCTACCTGCTCCCCGAGGATGCTCCCAGTCTTGGATTCGGGTTATTCTTGGTAGTGTTCAGAGCTCCCGTGCAGATGAGGTCACTGAGCCGGCGGGTCTGCTCCCTCGGCCTCGCTAGTGCGTTACCTTGTCTAAGCAGGAGCTCTGGGCGACCTTTTTTGGAGGTTGGGGACTTGACCTCAGATGCAGGTGAGGCAGTGACCTTCTTTCAGGTCTCCAGTCTGAGACGGGACACCTCCAGTCCCGCGCAGCCTGAGACAGTCGGACTCCCAGTTCTCTTTGCCCATCTCTGGACTCAGAATCCAGTGGGTCCTGGGAACTCTACTCACCCCATGTGTTCCAGACAGCCACAGTCTGCAAAGGCTTTTATGTTGTTTTTGAGCAAGATAGACCTTTACAAAATTGCTCTATGGTTTATTATGGCAATGTGTTTGGAGGAAAGGGGCAGGTCAAAGCTGGACTTAACAACTCCAGCTGGAAATCAGTTTTGTTGCCTCTTTAGGATATAAACGTGTAATGCTGGCCCACACACCAGGTATTGGATGTGATTTATATTCTGGATGCTCCACTGCATGTTTATATATTATTTCATTATACACTTGTAGCAGCGTCATAAAGCATCACCCCCCCCCCATTTTACAGAGTGGGGAACTTGTGGCTCAGAGAGAAGAAAGAAATGGGTCCAACACCACAGGGCTTGTGAGTTGCAGAGTCACACCCAGCTCTGCTGTACCTCCCCATCGGAGCCCTTAACCACCATGGCCCACATGTCCCCAGAAGTGGGGCATCACCTCACGGTGCCCTTTCCTTTTGTTCCAGGAAAATGCACTGAAGGAGGCTGCCCAGGGAGAGCACCGCCCGAAGCCCCATTATGCAGGCCTTCCCGCACGGGCCCGGCAGCACGACAAGGTAACTGCCCACCTCCGCCAGCGGGCCCGGGAGGCGGGTGCTGTGAGGGTCCGGGAAAGGCAGAGAGAGGACGGCTTGCTGAGCCCCGCCCAGTGCAAAGGTGGCGGGACCCTGGGCCATGTCTCATGTCCCTTCGTGTGGCCACTGCACAGAGCGCTCAGGGGACGTCTTGTGCACTGTCTGCGAGGTGTCCCACTTAGAAGTCTGCCCGGCCACACCCTCCACAGCGAACAAGCCTTCCCATGTCCTCGCCCCCAGACCACTGTCTGTCTTAGTTTTTCTCATCCGAGGGACCGGCATCCCCCAGCTCTCAGGCCTGGCTGCTAGGAGCTGATCTGATTCTTCCTGTCCTCACTCCTGCTTCTCACTCAGCAGCAGCCTGTGACACCCCCCATCTCCTCCGTGTCCCCCCAGTGCAGGCCACCGTTTTCTCGCGCCCAGATGCTGACATGGTCTCCTCACTGGCCTGCCTACCTGCTTCTTGACATCCTAGAGTCATTTCCAGCAGCATCTGGAGTGATCCTGTGGTACAGACCAGATGGTGGGGCTCCTCTGAGTAAACCTTCCAGCGCCTCCCCAAGTAAGAATGAGGCGACCCCGTGGCTGCTGTCTTGCTCAGCCTGCCTCTCCACCTTCGATTCATGGAGCCGTGTCCACTCTGACCTCCTTTGTTCCTCAAACCACCACGCTTGTCCCAGCGCACAAGGGTTTTCTCTGCTTAGAACTCAAGTCCATCATCTTCAGACAGCTGCCAGCTCCTTGCCCTTCACATATCAGCCTGAGTCACCTCCTCAGCCGGAGCATCCTGGCCCCACTCTATGTCCCTCCCTCACCCCCTACCCTGGTCTGGCTCTGTGACTTCACCCATCTCTTGTCTTCCTGTTTCTCTTATAACTTGGTCTGTCCCATGTCTTCACTTCTGTGTCTGTCTGTCTCCCTGCGAGAACGTCAGCTCCCAGGTGGCAGAGGTCTTCGCCGCTGTATCCAGCATTGTGTCCCTAGCTCCTATAGCAGGGTGCATAGTAGGTGCTCATTAGCTATTACTTAATGATTAATTGGCAGCTTGGAGTTGCTAATTTCACAGCTTTGCCAATGCCTGTTTCAAAGAATAACTGAATCCTGACAATTTTACTATAAGAATTAGAGCTTTCTTGATTTTGCACTGATTTTCCTGCTTTCTTATGGGGCTTTTTTTTTTTTTTTTTTACAAAAAAGATCCTGCTTTTCAGGAAATAACAAGAGTTGGAGAGAATGTGGAGAAATCAGAGCCCTGGTGCTGGTTGGTGGGAATGGAAAATGGTGCCGCTGCTGTGGAAAACAGGGTGGCAGATTCTTAAATACTGAAAAATAGGGTTACCACAACATGATCCGGCAGTTCCACGTATGGTAGTACACCCAAAAGAATTCCAAGCAGGATTGAATCATCCCCCCATTTTATAGAGCAGGTAAAAAATTCACAGCATTATTCACAGAAGCCAAAAGGTAGAAGCAACCCAAGTTGCTACAGATGGATGGATAAACAAGAGGCAGTACACACATGCGTGTGCGTGCATGCACAGTGGAATATTACTCAGCCTTAAAAAGGAAAGAAGTTCTGACACCTGCTGCAGCATGAATGAATCTTGAGGACATGATGCTCAGTGAGATAATAAGCCAGACGCAGAAGGACAAACACTGTCTGATTCCATTCATACCGGGCCCCTAGAGGAGTTGGCTTCACAGAGACAGAAAGTAGGAGAGTGGGGGCCAGGGGAGGGGGGAGGGGGAGTTAGTGTTCAGTGGGGACAGAGTTTCAGTTTAGGAAGATCGAAAAACTTCTGGAGAGGGAAGGTGGTGATGGTTCATATGAATGTATTTAATGCCCCTGAACTGTACACTTAAAGATGGTTAAGATGGTACATTGTATTGTTATGTGTATTTTACCACATTTAAAAAAAAAGATGTGTTTTTAGTACCTCCCCAAGTCTCCCTTTAGTTCCCTTTCCTTCCCCCCAGGTCCCACCCTCTCTGCCCTCTTTCTTTTCCCAACCTGGTCTCAGGAGAGGCTCTGATAAACTCACTTACACGGAGGGTGAATCTGTAATGAGGCATAGTGACTTTCTCAGCCCAGGAGTCTTTTTCGTTAAACAGGAACAAAAGTGAAAAAGAATGGAGGTGCTTCAGACATTGGGTGCAGGCTGACCATAGGGCTGCTCGGAGCTGGGCATAGGGAGGGCTGACCCAGGGCTGGCTTTCTTCTGTTCAGATCACTGCATGTGCATGTCTGTCTGCTCCTAAGCTGGGCTCTGATGCCAGGAGCGGTGATCCCAGCATGGTGAGGGCAGAGCCAGGGGAGCCGAGGGCAGTGGTGCCATCACTAGGGCTGGGCGGTGGCAGGGGGGAGGTGGTCACAGTGCTGGCAGCACCACCGTGTCCCTCCCTGGACCTGGGTCTCTAGCTGCGCTGATGGTCGCTCTGTTCCCATAAGACTCACCAAATCTGATGTTATTTTTCAATTAAAATTTGAAACTGCTTGACATCCACATGGCCAATAGCACATGAAAAATGCTCAACATCACTGATTATTCAAGAAATGCAAATAAGAACTACAATGAAGTATCACCATTTGGCCAGAATGGCCGTCATCAAAAAGTCCACAAATGATAAATGCTGGGGAGGGTGTGGAGAAAAAGGAGCCCTTGTGCAGTGTGGTGGGAATGTAAATTGGTGCAGCCACTATGGAGAGCGGCGTACATTTTCCTTAAAAAACTACAAATAGACTTATATGATCCAGAAATCCCACTCCTGGGCATGTATCTGGAGAAAACTCTAGTTTGAAAAGACGCATGCACCTCCATGTTCACAGCAACACTATTTACAATAGCCAAGACTTGGAAGCAATCTAAATGTCCAAAGACAGATGACTGGATAAAGAAGTTGTGGTATGCATTTATACAGTGGAATACTACTCAGTCACAAAAAATGAAATAATACCATTCGCAGCAACATGGATGGACCTGGAGATTGTCATACTAAATGAAGTAAGCCAGAAAGAGAGAAAAATAACATGATATTACTTACGTGTGGAATCTAAAAAAAAAAAGACATGTGAACTTATTTACAAAGCTGAGGCAGACTCACAGACATAGAAAACAAACTCTGGTTACCAGAGGGGGGCAAGGGGCAAGGGGGGATAAATTAGGAGTTTGGGATTCGCAGATACACACTACTGTATATAAAACAGATAAACAACAAGGTCCTGCTGTAGAGCACAGGGAACCATATTCAATACCTTGTAATGACCCATGATGGTAAGGACTCTGAAGAGGAATAGATGCACATGTGTAACTGAATCACTGTGCTGTGACCAGAAACTAACACAGCACCGTAATCTGCCATACTTCAATTTAAAAGTCACAAAAAATAAAAATAGAAAGTTTTGCCAGATTAAAAAACAGAAGATTTGAAGCTTCCTCCCTGCTGCCTCCACACCTTGGCCTTTTACACAAGGCTTTAAGGCCCAGAAAAGGAGCTTGCCTTCCCTTCAGCAGCGCGTGGGGTTTGAGGGCACCGAGTGACTCACAGGAGGGACGGGAATAGCAGAGCCTTTGGAGAAGAGGCAGGGAGGGTGGTGGGGCCTGAGCGGCTGTCCTGCTCCTTTGCTGGCCTTGCAGGGTGGGCGTCTGCACCAGAGTCACCGTGGGAAACAGCAGGTCCCCAAAGACCGCCCTTGGGGGCCAGCGTCTGTGCCCCAGGGTAACTCAGGGATGCACAAGGAGTGGGTGAGTTAGTGCTGCTGGGGAGAGCATTCAGCCAGAGCGCCAGGTCCTCGCAACCTGTAGAAACGCAGGGAACCTTCCCAGTTCTCGGGAAGGTGCCTGGGAGTCCCAGTTCCCCTCGCTGACTGTAAGTTGCATTTGCATTTTGCTTTTTAGGAGCCCTGATTACGTCAGCAAAATGAATGGTCGGAGAGCTCTTACTTATCGAGGCAGGGGACTGCATTGTGCATGTTTGCCCTGAAGGGATTGCCTCTTGGGTGCAGAATCGGATGCTGAACGATCTGGAATATTGTGTTGAATTCCCCCAGGCAGGCAGCCCTGCGGCAGGAAACAAATGAGCTGGGAATCCAGGACACGGTGAAAGGATGTGTTCAGTGCCCCCAGAGCCTGCAAACCCAGCGTTTTACAATTTCTTACTTGCCCGAGTCCAAAGGGGCCTATTAAACTCCCAGGAAACTGGGCAGCCCTTCCTGGAGCCGATGGGAAGTGCAGGCCCAGAATCTAGTTCTCATTAGGTGACTGCTGTCAGATGCTTTAAGCTGCTCTGCCACCTGGTGCCACTGTTGCTGCCGCCAGAGACTGTGTTTCAGTGCAGAAGTGAGTCGAGTGGCCGGATCTGGTGCCCGGGTCTGGGATGCGCTGTGGTGTCTGTGCGCGGTGCGAGGGTCTCAGGCAGCACCCCGAGTCCTGGAGCCAGTACTGCGTGTGGTATGAAGTTCATGACCTGTGAACCTACGACCTATGAACTCCTCTTAGAACCTGCTGACCAGAAACCTGAGGTGCCCTGGAATTCTGGCTCAGTTACGAGTGAGTTACAGGCGCTGGGCATGCAGCTCATTGGCCGGCGCCCCCTCTTCTTTATCTTACAGTGAGAAAGTGAGGGGCGTTTACTGGGTGACGCACATGGGTATTTGGGATTTGTGGGGCCAGCTACCTTTGGCTGGAAGACGAGGGCCCCCACCCAGCCCGCAACATCTGAGTATCAGTATCTGCGTTTCCTTTGTTAAAAAACAAAATCTTTTTCCAGTTCTTACTTTTTATTGAAGTAGAGTCGATTTACAGTGCTGCGTCAGTTTCTGGCGTACAGCATGGCGGTTCAGTAACACTTGCACTCATACTCCTTTTCACTGTAGGCAGTTACAAGGGATTGAATATAGTTCCCTGTGCTCCACAGTAGGACCTTGTTTCCATCGAAGAAGGAATTGTCTGGGCTTCTAACTTTGGATGTCTAAGAACTTTCTCTTTTCATTTTGGCAGGGAGGGGAGTTTGTATGTCTCAGTGACAATCTCTTCCCATCCTTTTTGCTATTCCGAGACCTCTTTCCCCTTGAGTAGAATACCCTGGCTTGGTTCCCAGGAGAAAGTTCTAGTTCAGGTGCCACTATGACAGGATGTGGGTCTGGTGCTGTGGACTGTTCATGGAAGTGACCAGCTTTGCGCTCCAGACACCGGGCAGCCGGGGGCCAGGGGCTTGTCAGCCAGCGGGCCTCTCCACGGAGGCTCTGGGCACCGGCAGGGCTGGAAAGGCAGGCAGGGCAGTGAAGTGGGGGCCAGCCCTGCCAGCAGCCCATTTGAAGCAACAGCGTGTTTTTCACTTGGAAGCCTCGGTCCTGTCTGCAGGACCGAATCAGAGAGGGTGCCCTTTTCTGTGCACTTGGCTGGGTTCTTTCAGCTGCACGTAGCGGGACCCAGGCTGTGATCTGTGATGGAAACACCCAGGGGCACGATTATTCTCCTGGACTAGACAGCCGGAGCCCAGGGCCATGGCAGCTTCTGGAGACGGACGAGGACGTGGGCTCCTGCCCCCCTGCAGCGCCATCCCGCTGGGGCTGTGGCTTCTGTGGTCCCCGCAACATTGCTGAGTGCCACATCCTTGCTGCAGCTGGGACAGCCACTGCTTTTCTTATAAAGCCTTGTGAGGTCATCGACCCCCAGAGACTCCTGCTTGCCTGTCATTGAGAACGATGTCACACGTGTCTCAGTCTGGGTCCCTGCAGCAAAGAGATGGCACTCCCCCAAAGCAATGGGGAGCATTACTGAGACCATTTCGACGGGTGTAGGCAGAGTTAAGGGGGCCGGTGGGGTGACGTGACCAGCAACAGCAGAGGGTTCTCATTTGTTGGGAAAGAGAGGAGGTTATCACAAAAAGACATTTTTTTTTTCACGTGAGAGATTAGTCTTCGAGATTTCTCAGGCCAATTTTAACCTCATGTTCCCAACACTTTCTTTTTCTTCTCTTTTCTTAATTGTGGAGATGCCGGAACCAGACTGTTCAGGTTTAAAGTCCTAAACTCAGGGCATCGGCAGGGTTGTATCCTTTCTGGAAGCTCTCGGAGAGTCATGTTCTTACCTTTTCCAGCTTGTGGAGGTCCCATGTTCCTTGGCTCGTGGGCCTTTGCTCCGTCTCCGAAGCCAGCAGGATGGCATCTTTAAAATCTCTCTCTTCTGGCCCCGTTCCTCTTGTCTTGCTTTCTGAGGACCCTCGTGATTACAGTGGTCCCACCTGGAAAGCCCCGGGCAGTCTCCCCAGCTCAAGGCCCTTAACTGAATCACATCTTCAGTGTTGTTTGTTTGTTTGTTTTTGCCATGTAAGGTAACATTTGCAGGTTCCAGGATTAGGATGCAGACATCTTTGTGGGGTCATTGTTCAACCTACCTAAATCAACCCCTTTGTCCCCTCCCTCGTCTCTCCTACCAAAAGACATTGTTTCTGTTATTGCAAACCAGACACATGACCTAAATCATTCCGATAAACATAAAGGGGGCATGATAGAAAATTTTAAGTCCAAGAAATGAAAAACCAGTCTTGGTATGAGACAAAGTGTTTTAGGGTTACTAAAGAGCAAATGCCAGTAACTTTCAGAGCCTTTTTGTTGCCCAGAAGTCCTCTGCAGGTTCTTCCTCATCCTCGTCTACTCCCTTTTAAAGCACTGACTTCAAGACCAATAAAACTTGTTTTTTCTCCCCCAACATTACTGCTTTCTGTTAAGTTGCTACAATGAATGCAGTATTTGCCACAGTAGAAGTGAAGCATTGTAGCTCCATTGGATAAACAGGATTTATGATCAGGCCCGACCCTCTAACATCTGTCCTAACCACCGTCTGCAGCATCCCTATGGGAGAGCGGATCTGGTGCCTGCCAGTCAGTTTCCAGATTCACATCTGGGTTTGAGCTGCCTGCAGGTTGGGGGACTGGCCATTCTTGACCAAAGTCCTGGTCGGTGCCCCTTGGAGGGTGATTCTGACTGCCCTGTGCTCTTATAAGGGACTGGATAATCACTGAATGTACGTAAATAAATGAGTTCTGCAAAGGGAGCCTGAAACCGTGTCAGTTTCCCTACAAAGTGTGAGTCTGATTTCTTGGGAACACCTGACTCAGGTGGACTTTGGCTGTTCGTTCTGCTTCTCCTCTCTGGCGATAGGGAATTGGATCACAAAAGCAAACTCCTGTCTGGTTGGTGCTTAAGCCCTAATGAGGAGCAACCCCAAGAAAAACATAAACAGTTCATAGAATGATCTCAGGTGAACGCCCGTGGGAATGAAGCGGGGCAGAGAGGTGGGGGTGGAGGCAGGCGGGCTGGTCCCCGAGGGCCTTGGGAAAGAGGGGCGCAGTTGATGAAGAGAAGCCAGGCTGGCGAAGATTGGGGGTGGAGTGGACGGTGGGTAGGCATCTTCCACAGTGGAGGCTTCCATAGCATGAGCAAAGGCCCTGGGGTGGGAATAAGCTTGACTTGTTAAAGGATCAGAAAGAGGTGAGGATGGCTGCCCATGGTGGGTGGCACCGCAGCAGCAGCTCAGATCAGAGAGGCGGGTGGGCAGGTGCTACAGGACTCTGTAGGCCACCCCAGGAGTTTGGATTTTATTCTAATTTCCATGGCAGCCCCGGAAGGTTTCCATCAGGGAGTGGCAAGATCTGATTTCTATTCCAAAAAGCTTAGACTGGCTGTTGTGTGAGACTGGACTTGGCGACATTCGAACACTATTCCCAAGTCTGATTTCCTGGATTAGCCAGAACACCAGAGGGGGTGGCTTCTGGCAGAGCTGATGCTGAGTTTCGTGTTCGGGTAGGGCTTAGTTTGTATCGGTTATGACATTTTCACAGGGAGCGTTTGAATTTTTTCTCAGGTTCTTTGCCTGAGGCATCCCTCAGTAGCACAGTGGCATTAAAGTACTTCTGTGAATCAGACCTCTCTGCGACCTCTTAATAACAGCTTCCCTGTAACCCTGTTCCATTTAGGAATGCCGAGTGGGAGCCTCCCTTTCCTTCTGTGCCTCAGAAATTGTCAGGTTAAATGAACACTCTGTACATAAAGCATTTTATGTGAAACAGAAAGGACTTCTGTAGCTAAAAAAACATGACTTTGTGACAGTCTGTTATTGAAGACATAATTCATGTTGTAACATTTGGGAGGAGGGAAAGATATTAAAATTCTGTGGTTGAGTTAAAATATGCTGCACAATGAAAAGTAATGGAGAATAAATCAGGTAACCTCTCATCAGCGATGTGCCCTTATCTGTTTCAGAGAGGCCGTGGGAGAGATTGAGAATTAGTGGTGCCGCCCAGATAAGTTCCAGACACGGTCCTGGGGGCTGTGGGTTGTGGATGGATATGGTTTCTGAGGTTATTGGAGCACTCATCATTATAATCCACGTGTAACCTGATTGCCATTTTTATCCACTTTAAGACAGGGTGAGATTTTTAGACAAAAGAATTAGTATGGCTATACAATTTGGGTAGCATTTTGTGTCTGTTAGGGCTTTCAGTTCAGAGGGACAGAAAACAATTCAAATGGGTCCAAGTGAACTTAGGGAGTCTATTGGTCCAAGCAACTGGAAAGGGAAACATTAGCTTCAGGCACAGCTTGATCTAGGTGCTCAAGTCATGTCATCAGTGACCTGCTTCTCCCTCTGTATCGCTTGGCTCTACGCCCATTTTGTTGGCTCTGATCTCTTATGAGTTCTTCCCTCATGATGGCAAATGTTACTCCAGCCTTTGTTCTCAACTTCACAAGTTCAGAGGGTGAGAGGGTCTCTTTCCAAATTCCTACTCAAATCCAATAGCTCCTTTTCCATGGATGTGACTGGGTCCCTGGGTCCCCAGCCAATCGCTGTATCCAGGTGATGGGATTACACTGATTGGCCAGGCCTGGGTCCTAGTCCCAGTTGTGAGCCAATCCCTGCGGCTTTGGTGAGGATGGGCGGGGTGAGGAGGGAGGTTGCATGCTGATTGGTCAGCCCTCGGTCACGTGTTCACCCCAGCAGGGGTAGACCCACCGCGAAGTCCCTGATTGAGGGTGAGGGAGGGGAAGTCCCGAAAGAAACTAAAGCGGAAGTGACATGCTGGCTGGGAAACGTTGTAAATCGCCGCCTTCTCTCCGTCCTTGCTGCTTGTAGGTGAAAGCAGAGTATGCTCGGCTTAACCACACGCTCTCCGTGGTGACCAGAGAACGCGATTTGGCCGTGCAGGAGAAACGCCAGCTCCAAGCCAAGCTGGAGAACCTAGAACAGGTCCTGAAGGTAGGGGAGCTCCCACGTCCGCCCTCCTCGGGGCCCGCGTGGGGAGGGAAGGGCTGCGGGACTCCAAGCGGACAGTGGTGGAACCTCTCGAGATCGTCAGCATTCAGGGCTCCTGGGGCCGTTTTACCCGTGCTGTGGTATAAGAAAAAGCAATAAATAACGAAATTCGAGTGTGTGTGGAAGCCGTCCCGTAAAACCAATTACGCATTTCCATTCCTTGGGATGTTAAACACAGCTGAGCGAGAGATGATGGGAGGCTGCGCTCCTGAATGGAAATTGGGCTTAAGTTGAAGACCAGAGGTGTCCCCATTGGTTTTTCAGACTTGGTGAATTTTAAGCTGTTCTTCAGATGGTTAACGACCTTGGTTATAAAGAGAACAGCTAAGTCAGAAAATGGCTTTGTCAGGAGGCAGGTAATTGGACACCTCATGCATTCCTGATGAGCTAGGATCTCCTTCAGTGTTTAATGGGTGGGTTGATTTCCTATTGATGTCACTGAGTTAAGCGGAATGAATTCTTTGGCTTTTTGGTTTTTTTGAGTGTTAAAATTTTATTGAATCCTCATCGTGAGAAAAGATTTTAAGAACATGAAAGAATAAAATAGGAATCCCATGCAGTCCTGTAATCTGATACCTAGTTTACTTTAAGCAGTGGTGTTTCACAAGCGTGGGGCTCAGGGCTCTGCCGCACCCGCCGGCCCTCCTGCATGAGGGAGTGGTCTTCACTCCACCTCTGGCTCCCCTGGGCGAACTGCTGAGCCCCGAGGGGAAGCGGGCTCAGGACTGGCGGGGACTGGTGTGGAGCGGGAAGTGGGTGCAGGGTTTCTCTTCAGGGTGATGAAGATGTTCTGGAATTAGTGCCACGATTACACAACCATGGAACTGTACCAGGGCCTCTGAAATGACCACTTTAAGAGGGTGAATTGTATGGCATGTGACTTACATCTCAGTTTAAGAGTGAAGATGCCCTGTTCTCTCACAGCAGGCCCTAGAGGAGGGCCACGTGCTTCTCGTGTGGTTCTCGGGGTGGCAGAGCTGTGCCCAGTGCTGGTGGCTTCTGAGACACGCTCCTGTGTCCGCCTCGCCCTCTCTGGAGGTAGGGCCCAGGCTAACCCTGACCACACGGCTTTTAACCATTTGCTCTGAACTTAGAACGTAGCCTCGTTCCTAAAGAAATGAGACAGCACCACATAATTACTCTTTTGAGCGCCTGCCGTGACCGCTGACTGTGAGTTCTCTGAGACACAAACGATGCTTCATTCACCTCTGCCCGTAGCTTGGGAAAGTGGGGTTTTGGTGAATTCAGTGGAGGATGGGCTGGGAATCCAGGGTGTACCCAGGGGCTTGGCTGAGGGTCTGCTGGGGTCAAGTGACCACGGGGGACCGTGTGGAGCAGTGGTTCTCAGCAGGGTGCCTACACACCTAGAAGGCACTTGGCAGCCTGGGGGCATTTCTGATGGGTCTGAAAGGGAGGGGGCTGTTGGGCAGAGGCCTGGGACCATGGCAGCCCTCCTGTGACGCACAGGACAGCCTCCATGGCAGAGAAGTAAGCAGCCCAGAATGTCACTTGTGCCCAGGTTGAGAAACTCCGTGTTAGTTTCCTGTTGCTGCTGCAACAAACGGGCACAACGGACAGTAACACAGGTGTCCTCTCACAGTTCAGGAGGTCGGATCCAGAGCGGGTGGGATGGGGTGGAAACCGGGGTGTCAGCAAAGCGGTGCGCTTTTTGGAAGGTGTTGGGGACGCCTTTCCCTGCCTCCTCACCTTCTCACGCCTGCTCCTGGCCCCTCCCTCGGCCTGCAGAGTCGGCAGACTGGCGTCTTGTCTCCTCTCTGACCCCCTGCCTGCCTCTTACAAGGACCCTGTGATGACACTGGGCCCACTTGGACCGTCTCCCCATCTCAGCATCCTTAACAGAGTCCCTTTGCCATGTAAGGTGACGTATTCACAGACCCTGGGGATGGGGAGGTGGACATCTTCGGGGGACGTTATTCAGCCTGCTCCCCACTGGAGTATTTTAAGGAAGTGACCAACAGCACTGACCCTGCCTGTGGGCAGAGGAGGCCCGTTTGTAATTCCAGGGAGTGAAGTTCGCATCTGTCCAAACCCATCTCCTGCCTGCCCACAGGGCTTCAGGCCAGTCTTTCCTCCTGCTTGGAGTGGGTGAAGGCCCATGCATTCTAACTGGCATGGTGGGGCCCTCCGCCCTTCCGTCTGACCTGGGGTTAGAACCTCATCACCAGGGCCCTGCACCCGTGGAGACACCCCAGGTTTGGATCTAGGTTCTGTCCATGGTGCCCTGCAAATAGCCCTCCCATCTTGGGGATCCAGACCAGGGGTGCCGTCTGCCCTCAGGGGACAGGCAGGGGAGGAGGCCTGTGCAGGAGCTGGGGGTGAGCTTGGGGACACTAGGACAGGGAACTCGAGGGTCTGGGGAGCTAGATTGTGGTCCAGGAGGGGAGAGTGTGGGATTTGGGTGGGCTTGTCGCTCTTAGCCCCATGGGACAGAGGCCCCAGTCTGAAGGGTGGTGCCAGGTGGCAGGGCCTTGGCTGGCTGGGCAGCCTGTGAGCAGCTGTCAGTGGACAAGCAGCAAGAACTGGAGAGGTTAGCAGCTGTGAGGGCCCTGTAGGGACTGGTGACAGCGTTACGGGGCAGGATTCTGGCAGATGCCACCCCCTTCCTGCCTTGGTCAGCAGCCGCCACTGCGCTGTTGTGGCTTGTTTGTCACGTGGCAGCCAGAGCAGCACTGACCAAACAGAAATCCAATCCCAGCGACACTGTGGACCCTCCATGCGCCCCCGCAGCTCACTTACCTCCGGGGCTACCCTCGCCTCCCAGGGCCTCCGTCCTCTGCTCGCTGCCCCTTATCTACCCACTCCTAGGCCAGCCCAGAAGAGGGGCCTTGCTGGAAGCTGACGGAGCTCTGGCTCAGAGCATCTTGGCTCGATGAGAAAAGGGAGAGAGAAAAAGACCTGGAGATCAGAAGAGGCTTGTCCTCTTCAAGAGGGAGATTCTGTCACAGTTGAAGGAAGGAAAGCCAACGTCTCAGAAATTCACAAAACCCTCTGTGATCTGCCCTCTTCCCACATGCGGTGCTGAGAGCCTTGGGGGCTGAGAGCGGGAGGGAAAAGAGCGGGGAGGTGTGGGTTCCACCGAGGCAGTTGCTGGAATCTGGGCTCTTGGACAGAATTTGCTGCTTTCAAAGGACCACCTTCAAGTGGGGTAATTGTGGTTTAAGGAGCATTGCCTCAATATGGACTGATTGAAAAGCACAGTGATTTTCACCTTCTGGTATTGGTCGTAATAGTAAAAGGGTTATTCAGAATCAGCTCTTTTCCCCCCCTTGAGCAGTAAAGCCTGTCTGTGGCAGTAGAGAAGGAAGGAGGTGAACGCTGGGCTGAGACACAGCTGACCTGACTTTGAAAACCCTGTTGTTTCTGTAAACGGGTACAATGATAACATTGCACTTCCAGAAGCCGCCCAGACTCCCCCACAACCCCCGGAGTATGGTGTCTGGTCTCCAGGTGTCATCAATTTGAACTGAATTAGCCCCCCAAACTGGTTTCAGTCAACCTGATTTGCTGGGAACCAAAGAGAACTCGTCCAGGCTTGGGGAGCATGCAGAGGGGAAGCTGAGAGGTGCAGGATTCCAGTCTGAGCATCCCTGCAGCCGGACCCGGACCAGACGGCCCTGCCCCCAGCCCCTGTCCTTCATCTGGGAGAAGCAAAGATGTGAGCTGCTGGTCGGAGGGAGACCGGTGACTGGCTCACAAAATCATGGTGTCGTTGGCTTCTTACTGAATTGTGACTGCTGCGTAGCTCTTCCTTCAGAACACAGAAGCTGTTAGTGAAAGAGATAAGACTGAATTTGGGGCTATTTTCTCTGAGAGATGGAGCCATGTGCTGTTGTGATGAGGGTCTTTAGGGATGGAGGCTGGGGGTCAGGGAACCACCTTGTGCTGGAGACAGGGTACACTGTGACCACGGGATCCTTGGTGCAGGAGAACCCTCGGTCCTTACACTGGGGACCCTGCGATTCCTCTGGAGGTGGCTTTGTTCAGTTACCAGATGACGCACGAGGCAGTGTGATACTCTGGCAGCAAGCGCGGTGTCTGGTGTCTGAACATCCGGTGGTCACCGCCAGGAGCTAACCTGTATAGCCTCCACCCTGCCGCCATCTTCGAAGTTCTCAGAGTGGTGGGCGCAGCAGGGGCACGCCGTTCAGTAAATGAAGAATGCTCCTTTATGTTGACATGGTGTGATCACGGCTCTGCACTTGGGCCAGCACGCATCCAGTGTCTGTCTGAACTGTTAATTACCCCGTTGGTCACGTTCGTGAGTTAGTTGGCTTTTTAGTTTCCAAATGTCACTGACATGCCGCTCGTCTTTGTACCGATAATTCAGTTTAGCCGGAGACGATGCCTGCCTCCCTCTCTCATCGTGGGTTCTGTAATCGCGAGTCCGCCGTCACAGCAAGATGGTGACAGTTCGGTTTTTTTCAGAGGCCTTTTAATTTTCTTACTTTATATTCAGTGATTGGGAAGGTCTCAATGATCACGTGACATCTGGGCAGAGACCCGGGTGAAGGGAGGAAGGGCGTTGTGCAGAAATCTGGAGAAAGAATGTTCCAGCAGAGGGAACAGCGAGCACTAAGGCCTGAGATGGAGGGGTGGGTGCCTGACTTGCTTGAGGAGAGTGCAGAGGCTAGAGCTGCAGAAACAGGATGAAGAGAGGAGCCAGGCAGCTTAAGATCTGGAAGGTCCGGCCCCCTCCTTGCTCTCGGCCACACTGCCTCCTTTCAGCTCTTGTCATGAGCACGCTCCAGCCACCCAGGGCTTTTGCACTTGCTGTGTCTGCTGTGTGGGTCGCTTTTGTCCTGGTCACCTCCAGGAGCTTATAAGCACGATGGCACGTTCTGTATCTTTTCTGCTAATCAGTTTATAGTGCCCAGCCTGGTGTAGAGATACCGTATAACAAATGTTTGCTGCGTGAATGAGAGGTGGAGGCGCGATATTCTCAAGTCTTCCCTGCGTACAGTAGCCGATATTCTAAGCCCCCTGCTTAGCTAAGAGGTGAGCCCTCGGCTTTGCAAAGCCTTCAGGAATGTATGTCCTTCCTGAGACTGACTGTCCCCTGGGGCTGAGCCACAGCCACCTTAGTGGAATTAAAATTGAATCATGTCCCGGCTGCTCACCCTCACCGATGGCTTCTTACTACACAGAGATGAAAATCTAAACTCTTTCCTGCAGGACCCTGCTCTCTCTGCCCCTCACCGAATCCTTCCCCCCTGACTCCTACTATGACCCCTTACAGCCTGGGCCCAGCTTCGCTGGCCTTCCCTGTCTCTGGAACATACTACACTTGTGTCCACCCCAGGGCCCTTGCACTGACTGCTTCTCCCACCTGGAATGC